CCCATGATCCATCCCTATTTCTTTCTATCATGTAAATGATGTCAAAGACCTTGGTGAACTCCCCAACCATATGTTAGATTAGCCTGATTCCTCATTGAGTAATCTGCCCCTCTTTTTGCCACACCTGCTCCACAAGGCCAGACCCAGAGGGATGTGTCAAGCGACTTCCTGACAGGAGCGCTTTGTTTTCTGTGGTTTCTCCTCTTCGGGGCTTTTCCCCACTTCCTCACACCCTGGTTTTCCTTCCTAGGAGAGAAGAGGTTGCAGAAGGAGAAGTCTGAGCAGGCTCTGGATAACCCAGAAGACCTGAGGGGTCCCCTTCAGCTCCCTGTGTTGAGACAGGGCAAAAGCCCCTACAAGCGTGGCTTTGACGAGGGGGACGTGCACCCCCAGGCCAAGAAGAAGAAAATTGACCTCATTTTCAAGGATGTGTTGGAGGCCTCGCTGGAATCCGCGAAGGTGGAAGCCCACCAGCTGGCACTGAGCACTTCCCTGGTCATCAGGAAGGTCCCCAAGTACCAGAACGACGCCTACAGCCAGTGCGCAATGACAATGTCACACGGCGTGCAGAATGTCAGTCGGACCCAGGGGGACGGGGACTGGAAGATCCCCCAAGGGGCTTCCAAGGAGGCAGGCCCCCTGGAGGACGAAGAGGAGGAGCCTTCATCGTTCAAGGCCGACAGTCCCGCCGAGGCCTCCCTTGCGTCCGACCCTCCCGAGCTGCCCACCACCTCCTTTTGCCCTAACTGTATTCGCCTAAAGAAGAAGGTCCGGGAACTTCAGGCCGAACTAGACATGCTTAAGTCTGGCACACTTCCTGAGCCCCCCACCTTGCCAGCGCAGGTACTGGAGCTCCCCGAGTTCTCAGACCCCGCAGGTAAGTTGGGGTGGATGAAATTGTTGTCCGCGGGAGGAACGTGCGGTGGACAGTGTGGAGGGGGGCCAGGCGCTCCCTGGGGGTGCCACCTTCAGGGACAGACCCGGGAACTCAGAGGCGGGCACCCGTCGCAGTCCATGCCCTCAGCTGCCTCCGACAGGCCGCCTTACAGCTCCCCTGGGGGCTTCATGTCTTGCCCTTGTATCCTCCTCGTCAATAAAGGAAATTCCGCTGCAGGAGGGGGTGTGTGCTGTGTTCTTGACCCGTTGCCTTTCTCCGGTGTCTTATTCCAAAGCCCATCTTCTAAACTCAAGCTTTCTCTTCTCTTCCAGTCCCAGGCAGGGTGTCCCATGTGGGAGAGCCCCCGGCCTTCCTGGTGGGGATCCAGGGCAATGACCTCCCTTTTGTCCGTTTCTCTTGGCTGCCTGGTTCTTTTAGGGTTGTTCAACCATGAGGGAAGTTTCTCACTGCACAGCTGAATTAGAGATTTACACAGTGCTTCCTTTTTAACCACACCCCTTAGCTCAGAATGAGGTGGTGCAGCTCTTCCAAGCCTGTGTCTTAACTGCTTTCCGATCCCCAAATCACTTGGGGCCCCAGCTGCCTTCCTTTGAGGGCACATTAGTGGTGGAACAAACGAGTCCCACATTCTCACGGTCCTGCCGTGCATCCTGGGACGTGCTCTGTTCCTCCACGCACTTGGCTTTCCTAGTCGTCCTCTTCGGTGGATACAGAACATTTAAGTTCCTTGGGCTTATGCTCGTGGAGGGTGAGGGCAGGCAGCCTGGAGCATGGTGGTGGCCACTGGGCAAAGAGGATCAGACATGCGTGGATGACAAGGATGCTTACAAGTGAATTCCAGGCTGGAATTCAGTCTGTTTCACAGAATATGACACCTGCCTTCTGGCCCTTATTTCCTTCATTTTGGAAACATCTATGTTTGTTTGTTTGTTTGTTTTCTCCCCAGTAGATATAACGGGTTCCTTTCCCATTTGTCTTCCAGCCTCAGAGAGCATGGTCTCCGGCCCGGCCATCATGGAGGACGACGACCAGGAGGTCGATTCGGCAGACGAGTCCGTCTCCAACGATATTATGACGGCCACCGATGAGCCCTCCAAGATGTCCTCCGCCACGGGGCGCCGGATCCGGCGCTTCAAGCAGGAGTGGCTGAAGAAGTTCTGGTTCCTGCGGTACTCCCCGACCCTCAACGAGATGTGGTGTCACGTCTGCCGCCAGTACACGGTGCAGTCCTCACGCACCTCCGCCTTCATCATCGGCTCCAAGCAGTTCAAGATCCACACCATCAAGCTGCACAGCCAGAGCAACCTGCACAAGAAGTGCCTGCAGCTCTACAAGCTCCGCATGCACCCCGAGAAGACGGAGGAGATGTGTCGCAACATGACCCTGCTCTTCAACACCGCCTACCACCTGGCCCTGGAGGGCCGGCCCTACCTGGACTTCCGGCCGCTGGCCGAGCTGCTGCGGAAATGCGAGCTCAAGGTGGTGGACCAGTACATGAACGAGGGAGACTGCCAGATCCTCATCCATCACATAGCCCGGGCGCTGCGTGAAGACCTGGTGGAGCGCATCCGCCAGTCGCCATGCCTCAGCATCATCTTGGATGGGCAGAGCGATGACCTGCTGGCCGACACGGTGGCGGTCTACGTCCAGTACACCAGCAGTGACGGGCCCCCGGCCACAGAGTTCCTGTCCCTGCAGGAGCTGGGGTTCTCCAGCACAGAGAGCTATCTGCAGGCGCTGGACCGGGCTTTTTCTGCCTTGGGCATCCGCTTGCAGGACGACAAGCCCACCGTGGGCTTGGGCATAGACGGGGCCAACGTCACAGCCAGCCTGCGGGCCAGCATGTTCATGACGATCCGCAAGACGCTGCCCTGGCTACTGTGCCTGCCCTTCATGGTGCATCGGCCCCACCTGGAGATCTTGGATGCCATCAGTGGGAAGGAGCTCCCCTGCCTGGAGGAGCTGGAGAACAACCTGAAGCAGCTGCTCAGCTTCTACCGCTATTCACCGCGCCTCATGTGCGAGCTGCGGTCCACGGCATCCACGCTCTGCGAGGAGACCGAGTTCCTGGGGGACATCCGGGCCGTGCGGTGGATCATTGGCGAGCAGAATGTCCTCAACGCCCTCATCAAGGACTACCTGGAGGTGGTCGCCCACCTCAAGGACGTCAGCAGCCAGACCCAGCGGGCGGACGCCTCGGCCATCGCCCTGGCCCTGCTGCAGTTTCTCATGGACTACCAGTCCATCAAGCTCATCTACTTCCTCCTGGACGTGATCGCTGTGCTCTCACGCCTGGCCTACGTCTTCCAGGGCGAATACCTCCTGGTGTCCCAGGTGGACGACAAGATCGAGGAGGCCATCCAGGAGATCAGCCGGCTGGCCGACTCCCCCGGGGAATACCTGCAGGAGTTCGAGGAGAACTTCCGGGAGAGCTTCAACGGGATCGCCATGAAGAACCTCAGGGTGGCCGAAGCCAAGTTCCAGTCCATCCGGGAGAAGATCTGCCAGAAGACCCAAGTGATCCTAGCTCAGAGGTTCGATTCCCGCAGCCGGATCTTCGTGAAGGCCTGCCAGGTGTTCGACCTGGCCACCTGGCCCCGGAACAGCGACGAGCTCCTGAGCTATGGCAAGGAGGACATGGTTCAGATCTTTGATCACCTGGAGGCCATTCCCACCTTCTCCCGGGATGTCTGCAGGGAAGGGCTGGACCCCCGGGGGAGTCTGCTGATGGAGTGGCGGGAACTCAAGGCTGATTACTATACCAAAAACGGCTTCAAAGACCTGATCGGCCACATTTGCAAGTACAAGCAGCGGTTTCCGCTCTTGAACAAGATCATCCAGGTCCTCAAAGTCCTCCCCACCTCCACGGCTTGCTGCGAGAAAGGCCGAAACGCCCTGCAGCGAGTTCGCAAAAACCACCGCTCCCGCCTGACTCTGGAGCAGCTCAGCGACCTGTTGACCATTGCTGTTAACGGCCCTCCCATCGCCAACTTCGATGCCAAGCGAGCCCTGGACAGCTGGTTCGAGGAGAAGTCTGGCAACAGCTACGCACTGTCGGCCGAGGTCCTCAGCAGGATGTCTGCCCTGGAGCAGAAGCCAGTGCTGCAGACCGTGGACCATGGGTCAGAGTTTTATCCGGATATTTAGGAAGCTGGCATTGCAGAGTTCACTAAGCTGTTGAATATTTTTTTAATCTATACTCATAAGCTTTGATATATTATATAAATATATATTATATTATATATATATCTATAAAAACCCACACTGAAAAAGAAATTTTAAAAACCAAGGTGACACGTCCACCAGAAGCTACTGGGAGTTTTCAGATTGGAATAATGTCGGAAACTGACTCTTGTCTACAAAATTTGGCAGCTGTGACACACCCCGTGGAAACTCATTTTCACTCACAGAAGCATGTGCTGGGGCTACACGGGCTCCCACCTGACTGTCAACCAACTCACATAAGCTAAAGTGACGGGTCTGTCATCCCCTTTAGGTAGCTCATTTTGTTTATGTTCTCGTTTGGGGTTTGAGGGGTTTGGGTTTGGGTGTATGTTCTTGCCTTTTTTTTTTTTTTCTTGTTTGGTTTTACAAGTGGGATCTCTTGGGCTCTTGGTTGACACGCTGGTCCGGCAGAATCAGACCTCTGATTTTTGGATAGGGTGAGCTGTGTATCCGGATCAGGGTGTTCGACGTTTTCCCCCTCCCACCCGGCTGGAGAGGTGTTCATTCATTCCCGGATGAGCGTTCCTTCACTGTCTCTGAATCAGAAGTGTTGGTCAGACTGTGACACCCACCAGTCCCCATCTGTGTCACCTCTCCCGCCCCTGGGCTGTTGATTCCCTCCTTCCAGTCCCCTGGATCCTAAACATTTTACCTGTTATACTGAAGGCAAAACTGCCTCACAACGGAGCTTGAAATCCTGGGGAGAAGGGAGGACATGAGCCCTTTGCATTCCTGTTTTTTACCTGGTGTGGGAGACCATAACAGAATTCCATTCAGATCCAAGGAATGTGGGGGAAACCCAGAGCCAAGAAGTCCAGACCCCAGTAGGGCAGCGATCTTTGGCTAAAAACACGTAAAATGAAAAGTATTTTTAAAAACCAAGGTGACACGTCCACCAGAAGCTACTGGGAGTTTTCAGATTGGAATAATGTCGGAAACTGACTCTTGTCTACAAAATTTGGCAGCTGTGACACACCCCGTGGAAACTCATTTTCACTCACAGAAGCATGTGCTGGGGCTACACGGGCTCCCACCTGACTGTCAACCAACTCGCATAAGCTAAAGTGACGGGTCTGTCATCCCCTTTAGGTAGCTCATTTTGTTTATGTTCTCGTTTGGGGTTTGAGGGGTTTGGGTTTGGGTGTATGTTCTTGCCTTTTTTTTTTTTTTCTTGTTTGGTTTTACAAGTGGGATCTCTTGGGCTCTTGGTTGACACGCTGGTCCGGCAGAATCAGACCTCTGATTTTTGGATAGGGTGAGCTGTGTATCCGGATCAGGGTGTTCGACGTTTTCCCCCTCCCACCCGGCTGGAGAGGTGTTCATTCATTCCCGGATGAGCGTTCCTTCACTGTCTCTGAATCAGAAGTGTTGGTCAGACTGTGACACCCACCAGTCCCCATCTGTGTCACCTCTCCCGCCCCTGGGCTGTTGATTCCCTCCTTCCAGTCCCCTGGATCCTAAACATTTTACCTGTTATACTGAAGGCAAAACTGCCTCACAACGGAGCTTGAAATCCTGGGGAGAAGGGAGGACATGAGCCCTTTGCATTCCTGTTTTTTACCTGGTGTGGGAGACCATAACAGAATTCCATTCAGATCCAAGGAATGTGGGGGAAACCCAGAGCCAAGAAGTCCAGACCCCAGTAGGGCAGCGATCTTTGGCTAAAAACACGTAAAATGAAAAGTATGTATTCAATTTACATGAATTATTTATACTCTGTCTTTATAATCATATAATGTGTTTGGGGGTATATTATTTTTTCCTTTAATAATCGAGAAATGCCTGCTAGAGTTCAGTGGCAGATGTCAATGCAAGTTGTGCCCTGGGTTATGCATAACTCCGATGAGAGTCTCTAGACATTGGGTCCTTCTTTTGCAATAAGGCTGATGACAAGCCCTGCAGCCCGGCAGGAAGGTAGTGGAAAAGTGGGGAATGCGTCTATGCCTGCGAACGCTTCCTTTTTTGAACAGGGTAGAGATGTCCTCAAAGAAAGGCATAAACAAGAAGTCAGACAGGACTCTCAAGGCATCAGCCTACACACACACACACACACACACACACACACAGCTGAGATATAAGCTTTAGAAATAGCCACTTGCCTACTCCCTGAGGCAAGTAGTGGTTTCATCTAGAGGAGTCTTGATCAATGCTCTTTTGTTCATTTAATTACCAGTATACCTCGCAAGGGAGTTTTTTTTTAAACAAATGTGCGTGAGCTGTTAAAAACTTCTGTCCGTGTCTCCACATCTGATGTATGCATATCTGATCTGCAGAGGTCCTGCATTGTGGATGCGGGTTCTATTTGGGGGAAGGGAGGAGGACCTGCATTGTCTATCGTCTGTCTATATGAGCCGCCCCTCTCATTTGGCAGAGGGTGGGCAAAGGATGGGATGATCTGGCCACAGGCAAGGCCTCGGTGTCCCCAACCTGCTCGGCTCAGACATTAGAAAACTGTGGTGGCTTCCTCCCTTCTTGGTTTATCTTGTCTCTGAGGCCTCATGCCACCGATGAGAGCCGGAGTGGAACTGTCAGCGACACTGAACATGTCACCCCCTCTTCCTTGTCCTGCCAGACCTTCACCCCCCACAGACCCCCTTCCCCCACCCCCATGGTCTTGGTGCTATGATAACTTTAGAATCATTGCTGCTAGTCAATAGCTTTTCATTATATAAATATATTATATATATTATATATTATTTTTGAAACTTTTTTGTTTTCAACAGTGATGTAGCATGTTAAAACAAAACAAAACAAAACCAACTGGTTTTCTCTGACTGTCCCACTGCCAGGCCTCATATGCTGCCTTCTTCAACAAATCAATGCACCCCTGCCTGGTGACATTCACCCCTCACCCCCTCCCCAGCCTCACACACTTTCCCACCCTCCTCTGAACAAGGAGAGAATTAGCAGGAACTTGCAAGGAAAGCCCTTTCTCCAGCTTTGAAATTCCCAACCTCATGCATGTCACTTTAAGCTAATGTCTTCTCCCGCCATCCCCCTCGTCCGATCAGGGTCAGTATCTGTGGTCAAGTGCAAAGCACAAGGGTCCACCTTTCCCTCCTCGACCTCCTCTCCACCACGCACCCAATCCACCGGGTCTGTGGGAGAGCTCCCTCTGGACATCACACGGACCAAGATGGGTCGAGGTGGGGCAGAGATGACTGGCAAGGTGGGCCTCCACAGGGATCAGAAACAGTAGTCGGGATCCTTTCTTCTAGCCAACAGATGCCTTACGCCTCCCCCTGCCCACCTCTGCACCTCCCCACCCACTACATCAGGAGACAGGGAGTCATCCTCTGGACCACCACTCATTTGAAAACCAGGAGGAAAGACTCGCTGATGACTGCCTGAGTACCGTGGCAGGGCCACAACTGTTTCCTCTCAGGAGGCCATGGCCAAAATTAGCTCAAATTTTTATCCAGAGGGGAAAGAATCCTTTGGGCCAATGCCAGTGTCTACCTTATTATTTCAGAGGAGCAGAAGCTGGCCACCTGCCTCTGGGCCAGGAGCGTGGACGGTTGCTAGCAACACTAGACTTCGAGCCATCGCCTGCCTAGCCAGGCTCCAGACCTCTGAGAGGATGGGCTCTCTGGAGATTCCCGAAGTTTGGGAAGGCATCTCGAAAGCTCCAGGTGCTCATGGCAGTCTGAAGGCCACTTTGCCTGGGAACAGGGAGCAATTTGGGTGACACACCACTACAATTGATACAGAGTCTTTACCCTCAGAAGTTCCAGTGTTTCTATCCTGTGAATGCTGCGTGCAATTACCCATGGTCTTCACCCCAGGCGTTTCCACTCTCTGCCTCCAATAAGGACTCCTGGGGTGTGGGTACTCTTGGGGTCTGCCCACATGCTTGGGCAGTCTAACCTCTCATCGATGAGTATAAAAAGCTGTGGCCAGGTGATCGTTCCATGCTGATGGACAAGGCAGAGCCCTTAAATTCAACCCCTGGCTTAGGAGAGACAACCATTGACTTAGAAAAAATTGTTCATGTCTCTGGAGTCGAGCTTGTCCTCATTGGGTTGACCAGTTAGTGATTTTCTTCGGTTCATGGAGCAGGTGGGAAATGAGATCAGGTGTGTGGCCGATGGTGCCAAGGAGATACATCGCAGAGCTTGGGAGCCAGAAACCCTTGTGATTAAAAATGGTCTGCTTTTTCTCAATGGAGGGGAAAAAACCAAAAGACCCGTTGCCATCTTGTATCTGTCTGTGAAATGTGAGGTAGCCCAGCCCTGTCTGCAACTCTTGCCACTTCCCAATTTCCCAGTTTCAGCTGTCTGGTTGGGTATGACAGTCTGGGCATCCACAACACCAGCTCTTTTTGTTTGCTTGTTATTTTCTTCTTGGATGGCCGCTGGGCACATCTAGTGCTGGGCAGAGCCTCATTTCCTCAACCTCACTGAAAGACGAGTGGAGGCTCTATCTCCTGGACCCGTGGTTAGTTGCATTCGGTGCTGAGCCCTGAATCTAGGACAGTTGGAGGTCTCCACCCTGGTCCCCGCCAAGTGTTTCCACATTGAGTTGTCTTGCTGAGCCTTCTCTCTTTGACTTGCTTATGTTGCCCCTTTGACTTGGAGAAAGGACCTTGTAATTATTTAAGGTGATGTTTAAATATTTTCCATTTGTTTTGAAGTGTTGCCAAGAGGGAGAAAATAGGCAACAGCGTGTCGAGTGCTGAAAATGATCGCGGAGAGGCTGAAGTGGACCAGACTTGGCCCAGCCTGGGCTGTGGAGTGGGGGCTATTTTGGCTGTTTACCTGTTGCCTCGTGGGGTCCAGAAAGTGGCTTGGGGGTTGAAACAGAACTTCTCGATTCCTTGCCCTTTGTTTTCTCGCCTATAGGAACAGGAATTCTGTATCTAGAGCTCGTTGTGGCTTCTGGTCTGATTTCCAAGTAGAATCCGTGTTCTTTCTTGGTTCCTACACCCAGTTCGGACAAAAGGCTCTGGCCCTCATCCCTCCTCGCCCTTGCAAGCAGCAGGCCAGCCTGGGACAGCCAAAGCAGGGAGGCCAGGCCTCCTTAGATGAGAAAGGCTTGTTCGCAAGGCAAGTGAGTTTGGGACAGTCCCGTTTCCGACGCCAGCCTCCTGGGGGAAGGTGGTGCTGGGTCATGGCTTCTAGGCTGGCTTCCTCCTCCAGTCTCGAGGAGGGGGGAAGAGTATGTCCAGAGATCGCAGGGGCCCTTCTCCTGCTTGGAGGAAGGCCTCTCTCTGCTCTCTGTGGACACGGTGCTTTAGCTGAGCGTCTGGAGCTGTGATACTTTAAGAAACCTTTGAGGTGATCTTTGTGCGTTAGCCAGAGGGAGAAAAAGTGCCCTTTCAGGAGGAAAAATGGTACGGCCCTCCTCTTTCATCTGCCCCCCCCCCCATCCCTTCAAGTGGTATCGCCCTGGAAATACCTATGCAATCCAGTCTCCCTAGGAGAGTGCATGGAAGCAGGGGTATGTGCAGTGTATAATACAAATGCTACAGCATATATATTGTATATATGGACATATGCAGTACGTATACACACAGAGTAAGAGATGAAATCACGTCTATATATCTATAAATAATATCCTATATATTTATACATTTCTATGTTTTAAATAGATATAAAAAATAGAGTCTATAGAGAGCTGGGAGAGCAGCGGGAAAGCCTGTCGCCGTGTTGTGAGAAGAGGGAGGACGTGGAGCCTTTGCAGGGGAGCCCGGGGCCGCTGAGCAGGCGGGGTTTGCTGGGAACAGGGCCCCCTGCCGGAGTGTTGGAGAGGAGAGTAGCCAGGCCCTGGCCCTGTCTGCGCACTTTTCTCTCCTTTCCCACACGCAGGCTTAGTCTGAGGTCGAAAGGAGATCCTCACCGCCTGGGCTCCCTCCAGAAGTGTCCCCTTTGCCCCCCAACAAGCCTCCGCTTGGGTGGCCCCTGCTGCCCGGCAGTAGGATGTGGTCTCTGACCCCCTGGGAGAGGGACACAGCACAGTTTCCCCCAGTACCCTCCCCCTCACAGGAAGGAGCGGCATGGGCGGCAATGGGAAAGGTGCAGACTGGACCGAGAGGGTCCAGGAGAGATGCCGCGCCCCCACATCCCCACTTTAGATGCTTTTTGCTGCCCCCCACCCCCGCCATGGAGGCCAAGCCTCTGAAGTGCAGCCGTCCTGGCCTCCCTCACCCACTCTTTCATCGCCTGCCAGGGCAGCATCGCCAGTCAGTGCTGCCCACCCTCCAGAGGCTTTGCGGCCAGGGCAGGGGGTGGGTATCAGCTAATGGGAAAGGGTGAGAGAGACATATCCGCACACTCATAAATTCAGTGGCAACTCCAGTTCAGAAGCGGGGCTTTGGCCCAGTCCACTTTGCACAGCTGCTGCTGCTGGCTGCACTCAGGACAGCGCCCCCCACCCCTCTCCTGTGCCCACCGGCGCTGCCGTTAACAGGCAGGTCTAGTTCACGTACACTGTTCTGATTCTGTGACTCGAGGCAGAGGCTGAGCCAGACGCCCCACGCTCATCCAAGCTCATCCACTTCCGCCGAGGAGGGCGCCTCCCTTGGCTTGGCCCAGGCCCGCCCCACTCCGGGATGGCCGGGACGTCTGGGGGCCCGAGGGTCACCGGTGCCCCCGGCTGAATGACGAAGGGCCTATGCAGCCCTGACGGGATCAGAAATCCGTTTCACTTCCAGGTTTCTCTCGCGGTTGTTTTTCCCCACCGTGGAGGCAGAGGGGGAGGGCCCGACGGGGCCGCAGAGGATGGGAGAGAGAGGGCAGCCACACCCTCTGCCCTCTCGGCCAGCCTCTGCCTTTTGGCTCGGCTCCCGTCTCCGAGCCTCCTCTGACCTCCGTCCTACACTTCCATACCATTTACCAACGTACCTCAGTCTCCAGCAGAGCGCCCCCCCCGCCCATGCCTGCAGTCTGGGGCGGGGCGGGGTGTCTGTTCTGCCAATGCCCACCTCTTCTCCACTCCACGTCCACCCTGGTCTCCTTGAGCCACCGCTAGCTGCCAACCGGGTCTCCGAACACCCTCCAGTGCCTGGCTCAAGAGAGACCAGGCCGGGCCCGAGCCTTCCTCCCGCGGCGGGGGGTCAGACCCGTGGCCAGGGGATGGGCATCCTCGGGTAGCAATCCCACAATGCACTGTACCTCAGAGAGAGAGCGTCCTCGGGGCGTCAAGGGCGCCGCGCCCTCCGTCCAGAGGAGGACGGCCGGTCACTACACTGCTCCCCAAAAGACAAGGGCCAGGCTGCCCTCGGGGCATCCTCAGTTTCTTCATTTTTGTCTCTCTGGAAGAGCCAGCAGTCTGATTCCGTCTTTTTCAGCCCCGCCGTCTCTCTCCTCCTCTCCACCCCCACGCTGCTGAACCGTTTCATTTCAATCACAGAGTAAAATAAAGTGGGGGTGGGGGGAAATACCTAGGAGTCTATTATCACATACATATTAATATGTTAATACTTTCTTTCTTAAAAAAAAAAAACCCTCGATGTTATTATTTTGCAGACTACGCTTTATAGTACCTGTGTGACGGGACCTAGAACACTGGATACAAATAGAGCTATGTTGGTTTATCATAATATGTACGCAGAAACTTTCCTTTTGTCATATTATCCTTGTAATGTAAGAAGATTGTTAATAAAAGCATTTAAATTTACTCACTGAGGTCGGATCCCTGCCTTCTTGTCTTCCTCCCAAACCCGTGCCCAGAGTGATTCAGAATGAGTCCCACGCTTGGGTGTCAGGTGAGATTGCCTGCCTGCTTCCTGGTCAGAAGCAACTGGAAGAGGCCTTCTAAGTCCGCTTCCTGTTGTTCTTACTTTTCCGCTATTCGAGGCCACTTCTAGCTGGTAACCTACACACCTCACCCACCCGTCTGGCCAAAAAGAGGTGTCACCAAAACCATTTAAAATAAATCTCTCGCCCCCACACACATTTACCCCACGAAATTCTCAGAGCTATTGCAGATGAGACAGGCAGGCAGGCAGGCAAAGTCGCTTCAGTTGTGCCTGACTCTGTGTGACCCTAAGGACTGCCGCAGCCTGCCAAGCTCCTCTGTCCGTGGGATTCTCCAGGCAAGAATACTAGAGTGGGTTGCCATGCCCTCCTGCAGGGGATCTTGGATGAGCAGTGTTCTAATTCTCCATCCAACTACTTGCATGATTCTCCACTGAAAGACTCTGTCCCCAGGGAGGGTCCTTCCCAATAGTGTGCTAATGGTGCTGGTATGGGGGTGGGTGAAAAGTGATGTTTTGCCCAAATTGTCTTAGAAAGAAGATGGGCGTACATTGGAGAAAAAAGTAGAAAAGTGGTTGCAGTGTTTCCTCCCAGGCTCTGAGCCCTCCTCTCAGCTCCTGCCCGCCCCAGCCCAGCTTCCAGTCCTGGGCAGTCCCTCTCCTCTTCTGAACCTCTGCCTGCTCAGTGCCTGCCATCGTTCCCCCAGCCTGTCTCCCTCCCAGCCCCTCAGTCACTCAGAGCTTCCTGTCGTGAAGGCCATTCCACGGTTTTCTCAGAATGTTCAGTTCTCTTCTTTTCCCAGGGCAGAGGGTGGAGGGGCAGAAAGAGCAAAGGAGTGCAGCTGTCCACACCTAACCAGCCCAGGTGAACTGGGGTCAGCCCCGCCCCACTGCTGGCCATTGGGTTTGACCTACATTTGCAGCTGGGAGGCAAGGGAAAGATAAATCTTCCATTGGCCATGAGCTGGGTCTCCCCAAAGCAAGGCTTGGAGGATGTGGCAAGGGGGGAGGCCCAGTCCACTTCCTCTCCTCCCTCTCCACAGCTGCCCCCAGCTTTCCTCTCCAAGGTTCAAAAGACAAGTTGAGCTCCCCCCAGAGAGAAGACTTAGGGAGCTGGCCTGAAGACCCATTGCTATGTGACACTTTCTACAGTGACCCTTTGAAAACACAGATCCAGTTGTGTTGTCTTCCCAGTTTAGGACCCTCTAAAGGCATGGCATCCGGTNACAGCAGCAGCAGCAGAGCAACTGAACTGAATTGAATCCGTGTTTACTGAAGGGATGAACGAATGAGTGTAAATTTCACTTGCCTGATGAAAGTGCAGTCCCAGCAATGCTATGTTGGTCACAGTAGAGACCTCAGATGCTTCCACTTTGCCTGCCTCTGTCTCAGTTTCTTCGCTTGACTAGGGGACCCCTGTACCTGACCCCTGGCAACATCTGACCCCAACCCAGCCCTTTCTCTACAAAGCTGAGGTGGTGCCCGAGGTGCTTACTTGAGTTCCCTTCCACTCCAACTTGCACTTGTCCTTTGGATAGTGTCCCACCCCCCTCAGGCAGGTGCTCCCAAGTTTTCTTAGGGAAGAGAATCTTTCCAATTCCTTCCAGCATGGCAATTGTCTGAGTTCGTGGTTTCAGATAGCATTTTTAAATGACTGCCTATGCATCTGTTACCTTTCCAATAAAGACTCTGGTCACTGGCTCTAACCCACAGCCTGGACTTTAGGGTTAGAGCAGTGTTGTTGTTCAGTTGCTAAGTCATGTCTGATTCTTTGCAACCCCTTGGACTGCAGCACGCCAGGCTTCCCTGTCCTTTGCAGTCTCCCAGAGTTTGTTCAAATTCATTTCCATTGAGTCAGTGATGCTACCCAACAATCTTATCCTCTGTCACCCCCTTCTCTTCTTGCCCTCAATCTTTCCCAGCATCAGGGTCTTTTCCAATGAGCTGGCTCTTTGCATTAGATGGCCAAAGGATTGGAGCTTCAACTTCAGCATCAGTCCTTCCAATGAATATTCAGGGCTGATTTCCTTTAGGATTGACTGGTTTGATCTCCTTGCAGTCCAAGGGACTCTCAAGAGTCATCAACACCATAATTCAAAAGCTGCAGTTCTTTAGCCCTCAGCCCTTGTTATGGGCCAACTGTCACATCCATACCTGACTACAGAAAAAACTATAGCTTTGACTATATGGAACTTTGTGGGCAAAGTGATGTCTCTGCTTTTTAATATGCTGTCTAGGATTGTCATAGATTTGAGCAGTACCAGCTTCAAAGTTCTCCCTCTGCTTCTTATAAGCTGCGAGACCTAGGACAAGTCACTTATCTGAGTCTGCATCTTCTGGGCTCAGCACAGAGCCAAGACTTACAACACGATGACCAGGGTCATTATCATCATTACTGTTACCTCTCACATCAGGATGAAGTAGATGCTAGGCAGCCTAGGTTTCTCTTTTTTCACCTAGAATCCCAGGGCCTCGTGTGGGTGAGGGATTGCCTGTTACTTTTTAATACAAAGCCACCAATACCTATCTCACAACTGGAGTGGCAACCTCTGCCTCAACCCTCTTTTCCTTCTCAGCTGGAGAGAGAGCTTCAGGGCACCCTCTTCTGGTCGACAGCTCAATTCACCTGACCCTTGAGGGCAAAGAGACCGCAAAGAGGGTTGGTTTGTTTTTGGTGGGAAAACCAGCCTTCTCCTCGCTTGCTCCTGGCTTGAATCCCTGTGTTTCTAAAACAGGATTTCTGCCATCAGCCACTTGTCCTGAGATACCAAGGGAGAACGTTGGGAAACTGGGATGGGAAGCCAGGCTCCAGCCTCGTCTGCCTTGAGAAGATACTTCACCCGGTTGAGGACAAGCCACTACTAGAATACTTTCTATGGCAACATCTGACTTCCAGTCCTAAGTCTGGCTTCTTCCCACCTCCTCCCAGGTAGGCACCTGCCTCCATCTCTGGCTTCGGGATGATGCTGAGGGCCCTGCCAGGGGCTACCTGTGCTGGCTCTCCTGTAGGAGACGAGGGATGGGTGCAGGGGGCAGTTCTCCAAGGCTGGTACCAAGAAAAGCCCCATCCCCTAAATCCATCCACAGCCACATCCTATGGCTCTACCCTTGCCAAACATCCGCCCAGGTTTGGAGAGGGAACAGTTGCTAGGGTTCTGAGCTCTTGAAATGGTGTTGCTTCCAGTTGACTCTAAAAAATAGAAATTCTTGGGTGGAAAAATCACCACCGGCTCCATTAGCAATTAAGCAAATGAGAAGAGTATGACTCAGTGCCTCAGGTAACATCACATGCTGTCTGGAAGAGCAAATGGCTGTCAGGAAACCTGGCCCAGGGCAGGGAAGGCAGGTACCCGGTCACGTGGGTTTAGTTCATTTTACACATGAAACTGGAGGCCAAGGATACACATGAGAAGTCTTAATTATCAAATCACAAAACATTAAATCTTGAAGAGTGATCATTTTGTCCAAATTTATTTTATAGATGCGGGCATAAGCCCAGAGGCAAGTGACTTACCCAGAGCCATGAAGGTGGCAGTGACAGAGACCAGCTGGGTTGCCCAGTTCCTAAATGCAGTGCCCTAAACTTGAGTTATTTCATAGGCTGGAGCAGAGTTTGTTATTTAAGGTGGTTCAGTGGAAAGCCCAGTATAAAATCATTCCTAAACTCTTCTTGCCTCTTCCATTTTTATTTTTGGTAGATCCAGATTCTCAAATCTTAGTTTTGGACTTCAGAGGCCATTTGGGTTCAATCCCTGGGTTGGGAAGATTCCCTGGAGAAAGAAATGGCAACCCACTCCAGTATTCTTGCCTGGAAAATTCCATGGACAGAGGAGACTGGGGGGCTACAATCCATGGGATTGCAAAGAGTCAGACAGGACTGAGCGACTGCGCACATCAGGGACCATATTCACAGTTACCTGTGAGACACAGTCTACACAATATTTGGCTGCATGGGATAAGAGCCACTTTTCCTATTTTAATATGGAAATAAAAATCCTGGCTGTCATTAAAATATAACAAATATATATAATATAAAATAAGGAATTACATGTACAGACTTGGAAAGTGAAGCCTTTCTTTATGGCTCATTTATCCTTTTTAAGACGGCTTCCCAGGAGGCGCTAGTGGTAAAGAATATGCCTGCCAATGCCGGAGGTGCAAGAGACGTGGATTCCATCCCTGGGCCAGGAAGATCCCCTGGAGTAGAAAGTGGCAACCTGCTTTAGTACTCTTGCCTGGAAAATTCCATGGTCAGAGGAGCCTGGCAGGCCACAGTCTATGGGGCCACAGAGAGTCAGACACAACCGAGTGATTAAGCAGCAGCATCCTTTTTCAGAGCCTTTGGTTTTAATTCCACGTAACCCACCTGATTTCCCACTGACCTGAAAATTCAGGCTCTTCCCCTGCCTTAATGCCTGAGCCTGTTCCTCCTGAAGGCAGGGCTGCAGCAGCCACGAGGAGGCCCTGAGATGACAGGACTCTGTAAGTTCCCTTGTCCCTGCCCGCCACCTGGAGCACAGGTGAGCGCTCTGCCACTGCCCTGACTCTTCAGTGATGGGGGTATTTCTTTGGGGTTATGTTAGAGAAACAGTTTCCATCTTTCCTTCTCAAGAATAAAGTTCAAGCCCCAAGAGGCCTTGCCTGAGAACGTCCACAGCAGCAGCTCCTCCAACATAAAAAAAAAAAAAGAGAGAAATATCTAAACATATGTCAGTAGGGGAATGGGATTGTGGCATATCCATGCAATGGAAAATAACAGAGCAGCAAAAAATAAAGGAGCTAGAGCTACATAAATCTGCGTGGATAAAACTCAAAATTTTAACGTGGAGCAAAACTAATGTGATACAATTTAAAATTAAAAACACAAAATACTCTATGAGGTTTGCACATACATGTAGTAAAAAGAGAAAGAAACCCCAAGTTCAGGATGGTGGTGTCCTGAATGAGAGGCTAAGGGGATTTCAACTGTACTTGTCAAGTTTTATAAAACTTGGCAGGAGTTCACATGTGTTTATCAGATTATTTTTCTGCATTGCGTATGTCTAAAGCTTTTTTGTTTGTTTTTTATGCTTCATCTTTTAAAAAATATTTGTTCACTTATGGCTGCACTGGGTCTTCACTGCTATGCAGAGGCTTTCTCTAGTTGCGTGGATTCTCATTGCTCTGCAGGGGCTTCTCACTGTGCTGACTTCTCTTGTTGTGGAGCATGGGTTCTAGGTGTTCAGGCTTCAGTAGTTGTGGTGCGTGGGGTCATTAGGAAGTAGATTCATAACCACTGGACTACCAGGGAAATCCATGTCCAAAGTATTAAGAAACAGGAACTTAAACACACACACACACACACACACACACACACACTAGGCAGCTGACCCTGTTAGAGGTTATTTATTTACCACTGCAAGGTTTTTGCTCCAAAGTATGACACCAGACATATGAGTACAATATCCCATGCGTCTTTTTGTGCTTCGGTTCATGACTGCAAAATAGACACAGCATTGACAACAGGAAACACAGGCAGCAAAAACAAATCACAAGGACTAGGTCTTTTTTTTTTTTTATGGTTCTCACCTCCGTTTGGCGTAGGCTGCAGTCTCCTGCTGCCCAGGACTTCTTTATATCCCAAAGGAGCTGCCCCAAAGGACTGCTCTCCCATCTAACTCTCTCTACACAGTATCGACTGGGGGAGATTCATCACTCAATCTACACCAAGAGTCATATCTCAGATTGAAATGTGCAGACGTGTGTAAGGTCTTGATCAATAGGCACTCAACAAACATATTCTGACTTGATGTAAGAAGTGAGTCGCAAGATGAACGAGATTAGACTCCCAGTTTTCCATCCCCATCGCCGTATCGGTGACAAAGCCAGGTCACCTCGTGGGCAACAGCCCAATTGGAGATGGTTTCTCCCTTTATTTTCACCTCTGCTTCATGCACTTAGAAAACGCTCCCTAGCAAAGGACAAAGCGTTTCTTTTAAAGAAAAGATCAGATGTATTCGCACAGACCCAATTACTCTAATCTGGTAGTCAATTGCAAAAGTATCTGGTACAAGGTAAGTGGATGCAAAGATTACTGAAGTTTTTTCATCTGCCAGTCTGATATCTCTGGGTAATTTAAAATTTACTGAGATGGTGTTTTGGTGGGAAACACAGCTTTTATGTTCTCATCTATATATCCTCATCCTTATAGCTCACTGTGTTAATTATTTACATGAAGTAAAAGTAAAGGGAAAATCACTCAGCCGTGTCTGACTCTTTGCAACCCCATGGACTGCAGTCCACCAGGTTCCACTGTCCATGGGATTCTCCAGTCAAGAATACTGGAGTGGATTGCCATTCCCTTCTCCAGGGGATCTTCCCGACCCAGGGATTGAACCTGGTCTCCGTCACTGCAGTCAGATTCTTTACCTTCTGAGCCACCAGGGAAGCCCAATTATTTACATAGTGAGCTATAAGTTGTCATTAGGTGAATGGTAATACTCAACATTATGAATTTCTAGGCCAGCTGCTGAGGTTTCTGATGAACTTACCTTTAAGAACTCAACTAGGACTCTGATGTGCATTCAAGTTAGATAAAAATGTATATTCTTCTTCCTACTCCCCTACCCATCCTTCATTCACTAATTCATTCAACACATTTTTATTAAGGGGCGATGAGTCAACTCTATTCTAGGTGCTTGGAATACACCAGTGCACACAACAGGCAAAACCACCTGCAAAAGCTGTCTTATTTCTGTTCAGTGAGATGAAGGCTGACACCTAAGATGTCAAGCAGAGACATTTGACTCCTTTTAAGGGCACCCTTTTCATTTGGATTCTGGAAAATGAAACCTTTGACGCCAAAGAAATTCATGCCTCATGACAGATGGCCGTGGGTGGGGCTGATATTCTGGCATCAGGGGCCCCGAGAGCTCACTGCAAACATCCTTTGGTGTGACTGTACGGCAGGCGCATGGACTTAGAAGGAAGTGGAACCCACCTTTCCTGATTTTAAGTCTAGGATCCAGACTCCTCTGGATTAGAGCAGCAGTTGGCACCAAGAACTGAGTACTGGTCAGCTTGCGCAGGGGATGCTTTGCTGTTTTGGAATGCCAACCAAAAAAGGGAGACCAGGGTGGTGAGAGGGCTCTTAAGGATGTGCTGTGGGAAGTCAGTGACCCATGACTTGCCTAAAAAAAACTTGGCAGGAGGTGGCCAGACTTAATGGGAGAAATGTCCAATTATGTGAAAGCTCTTCTCATTAATGAGGGATGAGATGTTGTTTCTGTTTTATCGGGGGATCGGCAGAAGTTATCTCTAAATGCTTTCCTACTGCTGTCCAGAAAGGAAAAAATGATGACAAAAGATGACACGTCTCTGCTCAAATTCTCAGGCAGAGACCAAGAATGACTTGACTTGTTACAGGACTGAAGGAAAGGAATTCTTTTCTAGATCAGGGACCCAGTGTGACCTCTAAGGGCCCAGAGTTTAGCTGTCAGTATTAAAAAGTCCAGAAGCAGAGTCCGTGGTCCTAGAAATGTCTGGCACTTGCCGGGGATGGTCAGCTGCCAACATGAAACTTAAAAATGATCTGCTGGTGGCCTCGGAGTTTGTTACTAGCGAGGGGTGCCTATGGCATGGGAGCACAATTGCATCTATTGCATCATTCACAGAGACCAAGCTGCCACATCATTAGGCCGCTTTTACAGATGGTCAACAACAGAACCCAGAAATACTGGTATCCAGGCAAATATTACATCCACTTGAGCAAGGATTGTAATATTATAATTAATGATGTGGACAGCTATTTGGAATAATCAGGTAGCGATGTGAAACCTAGTTGCTGATTATTTACTAATTAAAGTGATAGATCCTAAACACAGCGACAGAGGCACACTTGAAAAGATCTCATAGCCTCCTCCCCTTCCACAGACCCGGACTAAATTAATGTGTGCCCCAGATGGAATTCATCCTCACGTGGCTGGTAGGCTGAGAAGGAAGGAGTCTGACTCAGAGGGTCACTTTGGTGACGCTGGTGGACATGACAACTAATGCCCAATAACTAATGGGGGAATCCCACCTACTCCTGGTCAGGGAAGGGCTCCCCAAGTATAATATACACTGATTTTGAGATGAAACAATACAGTTATTCAATAGAAAGCACAAAATTCAGTCCAAAAGCAGGATCCAAAAAAGCACACGTGAGAACATTAAGAATTCAAATGACTAAAATTAAAAACGGAGGCTCCTAAATTTCACACCGTGGTTGAAATGTCCAGCCATGGCACTGGCTGCCCCAGGGAGTTGGGGGCCTGACGAGGACTGTGGAACTGAGTTGGGGATTTTGTGAAAGGGATTTCTCCAAGTGCAGTGCTCCAGCCTCTTCATCCAAACCACTGTGTGCTTGTTAAAAACGCAGGCTGCTGGGGTCCAGCCAGGATGATGGATTTGGAATGTCTAAAGCAGGGTTCGGGAATCTGCTGGTGATTCTTCACACACTGTTTGGGAACTGCTGGGTTAGTGTCTTGGGTCAGTAGAACGATTTCATGCTGGCTGAGTTTCCATCCCACCCTGATCATCTCTAATTCTTTTGAGATGATCCAGGATACAGCATTTCCGTCATCCTTTTTTGATACACTTATTTTTAAAAAGCCACATTCTTTGCATCCGTGATTTCCCCAATTCAGCTTTCTCTGCATCTGGCCTGACACCCACTGCAAAACCTGCACACAGACCGCATTTGATAAGCGTCTCTTTCAATAACACAGATCAGCAAAACGCGTTCCTTCTGACCCACATGTCCTGTCTCCATCCTTGCTCATTCTTAAGAAACAGGAGTGTGATGGGAGAGGAAGAGGGTCCTGGTCTCTGCACACATGTCTGTCTTCTGGTGTCAGAATGCGGATGGGGCACAAGAGGAGGGGGCAGAGGGCAGTGGGGTGGGGGAGGGAGACTATGCCCCCAGAGGGCAGCGGCTTGGGTGGCTGCCTAGAGGTGCAGCTGATGCCACATGGCGATCTGCCGGCGCGGGTTCTTCAGCATCTCCTCCCAGTGGCTGCGCTCGGAGCCCGAGGCGTGCAGGCCCAGGCTGCAGTGGCCGAGCATGCAGCTCTGACCCTCGGCGCCCAGGCCCAGCACGTCCAGCTCCACGCTGGAGGCCCGCAGCAGGTCATCCGGCAGCTCGAACATGATCATCTCGTTCCACACGGGGTTGATCTTGTGCTTGGCTCGTTTTGTCTGCTTCTTCTTCAGCTTCCGAGCCTGGTGCTTTAAGGTCACCTTGACAGAGACATCTGGGGAGGGACGGGGGACAGAGACAGAGGAAGGGACCCGGAGTGAGCTTCTGGGGTCTGGGGTGGGGGGAGCTGGGGTGATGCTGCCTCTTGGGGATGGAGAGACAGGGTCTCTGGCTCTAGATCCTCACTGAGGCTTCTGCTCCACCATCCCTTCCCCCACCTCACGGGCCATGTATTTCTTCAACAGTAATTCAATGCCCACCTTATGGCAGGTGTCGGTCTGAACATGGGGATACAGCAAAAGCTCCTGCCTGGAGTATGGAAAACAGATCAGAGCACAGTACATGGGTCACATGGCCCATGACAGGGTCACACTTGATGTCCCATATCAAACCAGGCCCAGCATGAGGTTCAGATGTCTTGCAGCTTGATTTTAAACTCAGACCAGGAACACTACGCCATCCCTATGTCTTCATCCCCTCAAGTTCTCCATCTAAGCATTTTTGTCTCTTCCTAAGATAGCAGGTCTCCTGTTGGTTGACTGAGTTTTTCTCTTCTGTTCTTTTGCAAGTTTTACTGGAGGATCTCACCCCACATGGAGGGTGAGGGCAGCCTGCCTGGACCCCAATAGAGCTGCCTGGCTCCCAACCCCCGACCCCGGAAATCAGGCAGCAGGTCACTAGACAAGCTTTCATATAGCATCTCGAGGCTCTGGACTGGGATTGTGTTTTCATCAGTCAAGGTTTCCAAAGCTAATGTGAAAATAATTGTTACTCTGTATTTATTGCTATAATTATCACCCCCAGGTGGTTAGTTTGTTATTTCAACAGAGATATTTGAGAGATAAAGTGTTGAGCTGTAATTGTCCTGACAGGAGCTATAAAAATTAAAAAAAAAAAAAAAGAGCAGGAGGCAAAGAACTATCTAGAGGGGATGAGGCAAAGGCATTGAGTTCTGACCTCTGGCTCAGGGATCTGTCAGCCAGACCAACTTGGGTGATTTTTCATTCGTCAAAAATCTCTTGCCCAAAGGTCCTGACTGCAGAGGCAGTTCTTTATTTGCTTCCTGCTATAAATATCGATGTATTTATATCCTGCTCTGAGCACTTGGCTCCAGGTCCAGGTGTCTCACGGCTGACCAATGCTGCTTTCTTTCCTGCTCTGACCAGAGAGGCTGTTTGGTCCTTAAGCTTGGGGTCTGTGCTGGGGTATCCCGAGGGAATAGCCAAGGCTTCCAGGGCATTGAGGAGATGTTTATTTGGGTATATGGGGCAGAGACACCTCCTCAGCCTGAGCGCCCACATGCCTTCTGCCGTCACCCACACCCAGCTGGTGTGGGGATGGCAGGTCGACAAAGGCTGGGAAGAGAGAGGAGTCTAGGGTGGGTGTGGAGAGCAGAGTGGTGGCTAGCTGAGACTGGAGAAGGGAAAACCCACCACCTGCCCAGAAGATGCGTCCAGCCATGTCTGGGTGACAAAGGTGGGGCCAAGCTTCCCCTACTGCCCAGATTCTCCACTCCCTGGCTACAGTCTGATCCTAGGCTTCCTGTGACCCAGGGATCAGGCTGTTCTTCTCACGATAGATCTGCAAGGTGGGAACCCTAGGAAGCTGACACCTGGGCCCTAATGGGTAGGAATGGCCCAGGAGTTAATGGACATGACTTTAGGGAAGTGAGTGTGTCCTTCAGAACTGGTTTGTGAGCTTGGGGTGGAGGACACAGCTGAGGCTGACTCTACAAATGTACTCATGTTCCAGGTCCCTGCTCACCCGTCCCCACTGCCTCCCAGGTGCCACATCGTCTGTGCACACACCTAGAGGGGTCCTGGCTCCCCTCTCACACCCCACTCACCCTTCCCCAGGAGCTCCTTGGACTGGTTAGAGTGGAGGTTCTTGGCCTTAATCAGCACGACTAGTAGGCGGTTGGCAGCCGGGAGGTAGCTGATGGAGAGAAGAACCTCTCCAGTCCCCGCAGACGGCTCCTGAAACAGAAGAAGGGATGCAGGAGGGAAGCCTCATTTAGGGATGCCCTCTGGCCCCATCACTATCACTGAGGCTGGGGTCGCCCTGGAGCTGTATCCAGGAGGCATCCTAGAAATCACTTACCCATCAGGGCTGCTTTCTCCAGGCTTGCAGAAAGGAGGAGGGCACAGAGGGCTCCTATGCCAGCATGTGTTTCAATATGAATTTGTTTCATTTGCCACAAATGTTATTTTCCAAACAGCTCATATTCAAACCCAACATACCAAACAGATCAGAGATGCCATTCAAGATGCGGCCAGGACAGAGGGCCAGGACTTCCTTTCACTTTATCACCGGTGCCCCGCTCAGGCATCTTCGCACAGAACCCGAGGGTTCTAGTTTGAAAACCACTGCATTGACTGATCAGGTTCCTGGAGCAGCGGGATGTTGCAAGGCATTACTCTGCTTGGAAAAAGAATCCCTTCCAGCCCCTGCAGGGCTGAAAGAGTCGATAATGTGATGCACTAATGCTGAGCAGGTCTTGGCTTGGCCTACAGAATGACCAACCATGTCAACAAAGGCCAGGCATACGATGGGCGCTAACGCACCACAGACACTCACAGGAACTGTGTTTTGCTGATGCCTTCAAGAAGCATCCAGCATGTCTATCCCCCCGTCTGCGGCTTTACAGAGTCTCTCCATTGAGATTCCTGCAAGAGTTTGTTTGGAATTTCAACAAATCCAATGAGGGACAAAGATGAGCGAGAGACCCCAGAGGAGGCAGGTCGCAGTCTAAGGGTAGAGAGAAGCGTATGGACTCTAGAATCTGACCATCTGGGTCTCAACTCCGATCTCACCATTTACTAGCCACATGATCTTGGGCAAGTTATTTCACTTTCTGAAACCTTCATTTCCTCATCTGTAAGATGGGAACCATAATATCTCCACCCAGTAGGGTGGTAAACATTAAATGAGGAATTATTTAATGGCTTAGAACTGCACCTGCTGCACATGACAGCATCTTTACCCTTGCTTTGATGATTATCATTAGTTATCAAGAAAGGATAATCACTACTTCTTGAGAATATTAATTGGGAACATTGTTTCTGGGTGAAAGGGAGACAGGGTTTGGGGAGTAAAGCTGGATGGAGGAGCTGGCCAGCCCTCTGATTGGGTCACACCTTTCATTCAGGAAACATGTCTTCAATACGACCACAACAATTCAACTAGCCCTAAGTGGCTAGTCGTGTGATGGAATGTTTCCGGGAGCTGCCAGGAACTTTGGCGATGGCATTAAGGGTAGCAGCTAACAAAACACACTCTGTGCTAGGTGCATTTATAATATCTATCCACTGAGGCTGTCATCCTCACAAAGCTATTCCCAGCACCCAGTACACATCTGACACGTAATACATATTGTGAGAAGGAAGGGTGAGACATCCTGTTTAATCTTGACGACAAGGGTAAGAGGGATACTGACCTGGCTCCCGTTTAAGCCTGAGTCCCTGATGCTCAGAGCGTGAACTTCACTGCCTGAGCTCATGTAACCAGTGTGTGTGGGGGGGTGCGTTTTAGTCACTCAGTGGTATCCTACTCTTTGGGTCCCCATGGACTGTGGCCCACCAGCCTCCCCTGTCCATGGAATTCTCCAGGCAAGAATACTGGAGTGGGTAGCCATAGCCTTCTCCAGGGGATCTTCCCGACCCACAGAATGAACCCACATCTCCTGCACTGCAGGCAGATTCTTAATGGTCTAAGCCACCAGGAAGCCCTATGTAGCCTGTTCAGTAGTGAAACTGAGCCTCGAATGGGGGGCCTGGTCTGATAGCGAAGCCCAAGTCCTAAACCTGTGGCCCTCCAGCATCCTCAACAGACAGACCTGTCCTTTCACGGTGAAGGAAATGAGCTCAGGCACCTGTCCAGGCACCCAGCGGGGTGTTGGCTGAGCCAGGACGGGCACCAGTCTTCCGATTCAACAGCACTTCTTGGAGGTCCACCCACAGGTGTTGGCCTGGGCTGTGGCCACATGGTGCCCAAGTGAGAGGAGCCTGGACCCGGCAGCCTGTGAAGGGCTCCGCAGCTCTGTGCAGGGTGCCCAAAGCCCCAGACCAGCCCAGCTGGCGACACCACAGCCATCCGCCCCATCGGCTCTCTTTCTTTGGCCATCCTCTCCCTGTCTTTTCCTGCTCCCCGTCTTTCTCTCGGGCTCTCAGGGAATCACTCCAGCTGTCCTTGGAGTGGGTCACTCTGTGGTCCCCGGGGATGCACATGCCGCTTTTGGCTGACCATCTTCCGGTGAGAACTGGGGCATGGCCAGCGCTTCCTTTAACCCATTCCAACCAAGAGAAGACAAACACGTGGGCTACAGCAGCTGATGGCTCCACCCGCTTTGTTCAAATCAGCCCGCAGGATCCACTCTGGCGGGTCAGGCAGAGGGCTCGCTAGCCTGGCCATGGGGCTCTCCCTTAGCACCTACACAGAGCACTGCCTCTGACTTCTGACTCCACGCTGCCCTCTGACATTGCGCTTATCCGTGGCAAACAGGCCAGGGGTCCAAGTGGAGGCGGGGGTGTGCTTGTGGGACAGTGACGGCTACAATGAGTGCAATGATTAGGAGTCACGAGGGCAGGACTGTGTTCTCATCTCCTGCGCCCTCGGCTTCGGGCACACCGCCCCGCACATGGTGGAAGCCGGACAAGACCTTTGTGGAATGAATGAGTAAGTTTTCTTCTAGGGGAGAGGGTAGAAGCAGGTTAGGTGCCTGAGACTTCTACCTGTTGGACTGCCACCCTTTGTGGGCAGCGCCAAACACTCCAAAGACCTGGAGGGGGAGCCCCTCCATCTCCCGAGGAAGCTGGATTACCAGCTGAATAAACCCACGTGTTGGGCACCTCTCCCCAGGGGCCTCGGCTGTAATTCCAAACAAGTCCCAAATTGCACAGTAGAGAGCGTACTGGGGAACAGCCTGGCTCCAGCTGAGAGTGGCTGTCAATGTTTATCAATTTTCTGAGCCAGGGAAAGAGAGGAAAATGAGGCCAAGAAGAGATTGTAGTAGGTGGGGAGCGAAAGTGTACTCTCTCCTTCCGCGGTGCCCATCAGGAAAGGCGCCTGCTGACCACGGCTTCTGTACTACCCGGCACTTATGTCCCACGGCGCCGGCAGGACAACGCGGGCTTTACCAGCAGACTGACCTGGCCTCAAGGCCGAGCGTGCCAGCTCCCAGCTGGGCAACCCCACGCTGGTTACTGAGCTTCTCCAACCCACACTTCTCTTGCCTATCAATGCTTACTCCTGTCATCAGTCCTGCTTTGTTCATTAGGGCCAGAACTTAGGTAAAGTTCCAAGCATAGCAACTGATAGATGGTAAGTGCTCAAAAATTACTACTTTTCTTCCTATTTTTATTACTCATGGGAGTCAGCAAACTTTTTCTATAAAGGGCCAGATTGTAACTATTTTAGGCTATGCAGGCTATATAGCCTCCAGAGGAGGCACTGGCCAGCTGGTTGAGAGACTGGCCATCCAGAAGGGTCCCTCAAGGCACCATCATAGCAGGCCCTTGGATGAGGGCCTAAATAACCACACACTGTCCCACAGCCCTGACCCTCCTTGACCCACTCGCTGCCCTGGCTTGTGGGGATTGGTGGCTGGCTCTCCAAGGAACCTCTCTGAACAGCGCGACATCTCAGCAGACGCTTGTTTTCCACTCACAGCTTCGGTAGCTGGGGAGGGGTGGGGAGACCCAACCTGGGCCCCCAGCAGTGGTCACTCCTTCAAAGGTCAGCACAAATGCCACTGCACACCAGGCCTTCTAGAACTCTCTGTCCCAGAGCACTGCAGTTAGGCCCCTCTTAGATGTCTTAAGTCATATATCATCAGCATCACAGCCACCACCATCATCATCATCATTTGTTCCGGTTTCTCCCTCCGGTTTGTACTCTCTGCGAGCTGAGGTGCCCCTCTCCCCTGCAGTGCCTGGCACACAGCGGACGCAACAGGGAGGATGAATGGTTCTAGATGGGGATAAACATCGTCAGCACCAGGGTCAGGGTGCTCACATGATGCGCCCTGATGGTGAGGCCAAGGGTAGAGGTGTCTGTGCCTGGCAAGCTAGACGCAAGACTAGACCCCAGGAGTCCCCAAAGCCTGGGCCATTGGTCTCCTCTAACCAACCCCCTCCCACCCTATTCAAGACTCCACCTTACTTTTACACCCCGCCTCCCTTCCCAGACTCCCATCCTCAGGCTGGGAAGGTCTCCAAGCTCGTTTCATGAGCACTGGCTCAGTCCTGCCCTGCCACCCCCGGGAGAGGCGACCTTACCTTCACTGAAGTCTTCAGCTCGCCCCACTGGGCGGTCCCCAGGGGCACGGACACCCCATCCAGGCCGAGGCACAGCTCCCCGACCACGCTGTGGCGGGAGAAGCGGTCGCAGGTCCTCAGGGTCAGCGTCAGGGTGGCTGCAGGGAGCTCCTCCTCCGCCAAGGGGAGCGCCAGGCCTTCCTCCCACGCGGTGCGCAGCTCGCGCTTCTTGAGGGCCGTCTGGGCCTCCACGGAGCCCATGCTGTTGGCCACGCTGCCCTGGACGTAGCAGTCACAGCCTCCATCGTGGTCGCTGGTCACAGCTGCAGCCAGGGAGAAACCGGCACAGATGCGGGGGGCTCGTCAGCGACAAGGGGAGGCAAGAAGAATGGCCCTGCTGTGAGCTGCAGGATCTGCCTTAGCGGCCGTGACCCTGGGGGTCTGAAAGAGACCCCACTGGGGCTGGCTGACCACCCTGGCTTTGTGAGATCGCCTTTCAGGAAGTCGTTTGGAAATAGGAGATCCTTCTCATTATTCCGAGGCCTCCCCAAGGCGCCAGGGCCCACAAATTGCTGATGATTTTTATTAGGGTTGCTGTGGATACCGTAATTCATTTGTTCTCTATTTTAAATATTTATCACATAACCACTTATGATGTGAATCGCTGGGCCACAACCTCATGAGTGTTGCTTTGTGTTCTGAACCTTGGTGTTCTTAATGCTTTCCCACTGGATCTTTCCAGTTTGCACCTGGGGAGCTTTCATGACTGGTTCCTCAATGACAATGTGCAAAGTGGTATCTCGTGTTACTCAGGAGAAGATAAAGAACGGAGGCCATGTGTCCTAAAAGAAAGAAACCTGAACTGAGCTTCAGGGGAACTGGCCTCGTCCCGACTCTGGCACCAAATAGCCGGAGTGATCTTAGACAAGTCACTTGATGTTGCTAGACTTTAGTTTTCAAACCTGTAAAATGGGACTATTGTTAAGACCAAATGTAAGAAAGTCTATGAAACACTTAAAAAAAAAATCATAAAAGAAAGCTAAAAGGATAAATACTCCCTCAAAAAAGCAAAATTAAACACAAAACTCCAGCTTTTCCTTCCCAGCTTCTAGTTTCCAGGCAACACAGAGGAGCCCATTTTTAGCCCCATGTCCTTTGCAAAGTCTTAACTTTGTTTGCCGATGGTAAAATGAATTATCAGAGTAGGGAGACCAGGCACAATCTGATCCCATAGGAAAGACTGCTTGGTTCTAGGACTACAGAAGCTTTGCTGACCATTCAGAACACCCTCTGTGTCCAGCACAAAGCCCTGTTCAATGTTAAAAACATCTATAACAGAGATGATTACCATTCACCAAAACAAAAAAACCCCCATTCTTTTAACTGGGGACCTGGTAAGCCACATTTCCCAGCCTTCTTTACAGTCAGTGGTCCTGCGACTTAGTTTCAGCCAATGGGAAGTAAGCATGTGTAGGTCACAGTTTCTAAGGGACAGTTGTGCCCTCTCCCTATTCTCCCCATCTTTCCACCTGCTACGCACAGGCCACAAGGAGGCCTCAGAGAGGAGGGGTCTGGTCCCTGAATCACTATTTGGAGGAAGGATGGCCGCCAAGCAGGAATCCCCAGTTTGGACTGGTATACGAGAGAGAGGAAAAACCCCCGTGTATCTGAGGATCACACGTCTCAGGGTCTTGTTTGTTGCAGAGTGCTCATATAGCCCCCAGTGTTCCCCCAACCACAGATGCTCAGGCAGGCAGACACACAGAAGGCCGTGAAAGTCAGCTAAGAGCATACCTTCCAGACGAGTCACAAATAGTTCAGCCTTCTGCCTGTCATAGTCCAGGCAGTAGTGAAGTTTGGGAGCCTGATTCCAACTGGCGGCCTTCTCTGGGTTCCAGGTCTCCATTACACAGACATCCTCCACCACACCTGTCAAGAAGGTAAAGTCATTACTGCTACCTGCACTGGGATCCTGTTTTCCAGCCCATGACTTTTCCATCTCTGCCAGCTAGGCCACGAACCCAAACCAAAAGCTTCCTAACTGTGTGCAAAAGCATGGTGGCACCCCCTGTGGTCCTGGGCATCACCTTTCAAGAGACCATCACAGCCCAGTGGGCAAGACCTGGGCTCTGGGGTCAGACCTGAGCTGCTACATAACAGTTATGTGACCCTGGACAAGTTACTTGACTTCTTTGAACCTCAGTTTCCTCATCTTTAGAATGGGAGTGACAGTGGTTCCTTCTTCCTGGAAGTACTGTGAGCATTAAAAGAAATAAAGTGAGAAAAGCACTTAGCCCAGGGCCTGACCCCTGGTGAGTTTTCAGCAGGGGAAACTGTCACCTCGTATGTGGCTCTAGTCACCGTGTGTCAGGCAAACTTTTCCCGAGGCCATCTCCAGCTCCAACTCTTTACAGAGTCTAATCCATGCTCCCCAGGAGTTCATGGCTGAAAATAAATGTCAAACAATGAGTCAAGGTTAGGGAGAGTAGAGTGGACTTTAGTGCGTGTTCAGTGATTCCTTGCTGAATAAATGAATGACCTTATCTTTAATTCAGTTACTAAAACTACAGTTATCACTCACTCTTCCCCTCACTTGGATTGCAGCCAAACATCTGGAAGATTCTCATTAGTCAGGCATAATTCAAGAATAAAAGGATTCAGCTGCAAACTTCACTTGAAATAAATTGAAATTAATTTTTTTTTAATTTTCAGAATTCATTTAAAGGGTAGAAACACAGAGGAGTATTTAATTTCCAAAATGGTTCATTATCGGGTTCCTGCAAGTAGTGAAGAATCTCCCTGGTGTGTCTAAGCAAGGAATAGATTGACCAGGATGTGAACAGTCAAGTGGAAAGCCAGACATACAAGCACTTGAGATCCAGGTGGCTTAGACAACTGCAGCGGGGTCAGTGCCAGATGGGGCTTGCCTGGCACCCTGAGCTGTCAGCTCTCAGACTGCCTCAGCCTTCAAAATCCAAACCAAACCAAGACCAAACCAAAGCCAGCACCCTGGGAAATGCGGGAGTGGATGCAACTTCAAGAATCAGGACCCTGAGCCCGACAAAGGGCCAGTGAGGATCTTTGCTTGTGGGAGCGGACTGATCTCGGCACATCATGGGGACATGATCCAGCGAATGCAGGGCATGATCCAGTGAACGCTGGACTGATCCAGCGTTCTCCTCCCTTGCACCGCCTCGCTACTGGTCGGTACTTGCTGAGCCAACTGGCTCTTGCTAGTTTGGAATCAGAATTGGAATCGGAATTCTACTGACTGGAATCAGTGGAGTCAGAACTTGGTTGTTGCCTTCTGCAGTGGAGAAAGGAATGAGGAACCGGAAAGGGAAGACAAATGTGCTCTGAATCCTTTAGTTTCAGACTCTGAAGAGCTCGGCTGCTGTCCTTGGTGGGCAGTGCCCACGCCTGGTTTCATCCCAGTTTTGAGAAATCTGGTTTGTGTGTGTTAGTCGCTCAGCACATCTGACTCTTTGCGAGCCCATGGACTGCAGCCCGCCAGGTCCCCTGTCCATGGGACTCTCCAGGCAGGAACCCTGGGGCTCCCAAGACAATGGAGCCATCCTGTGAGTCTGATTCTGATAACCACTCCCGAGGGTCCTCCTGCAAATTGTTCCCCACCCACTTTGAGAGCTCAGCTTAGCTCTCAAGTCCTCAGTGGGTCTATTTTAATTTAAAATGTGGGCTGGCAAACCTGGAGGCTAAAAGGCAACCAGGATTCCTTCCTGCCTCAGGTTCCACCTGAATTTGTTCTTGAAGAAATGTGGGGGTAATCACTGTGGTCCTGGGCCAGGTCGGAGGAGGGGCCACCTGTCCACTGGCTGGCACATGGGTGCTGGCCCCCGACCAAGAGCTGCCTTAGCAGTCGGGTCAGTGTCAGAGCCGGTTATGCTGCTCTGTGCCCACCATCTCCCTCTTTAACCACACAGAACAAAACCCCAAACCACATAACAATCCATTCTCCTGGCTCGATTTTTTTTTGTCTCCTTATAAAAGTCTGTGAGCTCTGCTCCTTTGGGTTAGGGACTGTCTCTGTTTCCATATCTCCCCCCAGGGCCCAGCAAAGTGCCTTACATGAAAAGGTGTTCTATTCTTGATGTTGATGAGAAGGAGAATAGAAATAATAATAATAACGATGCTTTGATTAGATCCTTGTGCCAGGCTCTTATCTAAACACTTCATATGCATTGTTATATTTACATTTTACAACAACCTTACTGGGCAGGTGATCGTGTCATCTTATTTTATACCCAGGGAAACTGAGGCCCAGAGAGATGATCGATATGACCAGGGTCACACAATGCGTACATAAAAGCAGAGAGAATGAAACCCATGACTCTGAATGAAGCCCATAGTTTAACCACAACTCTTTCTCCCCTCTCTATAGTTGTATACACAGCTTGGAAGGGACTCTCCATTTCCCAGTGGAAAGCTGGAGGCCTCGGGAAGACACAATGTGGGAACACGCGGGGAATATGGAGTGTAATTCCAAAGCCTGGTGCCCACTGCTTGACCAGTGTCCCATGCCGTGGACACGGGCTGGCCACGCCCACCAGCTAGAGATGCTTTCAAACCCTGCTGGGTATCGTCCACAGAAGGGTGAGGGGCAGGAGAGCCCTACCGTTCTGGGGAAGGACGAACAGCTCCTCCGTGACCTGCCTCTTGAGGCGGCTGTCATTCGGGGCCTGGGGGCTGGCCGGTGCAGCGGGCTCTGCTCTGCAGCGGGGTCAGTGCCAGATGGGGCTTGCCTGGCACCCTGAGCTGTCAGCTCTCAGACTGCCTCAGCCTTCAAAATCCAAACCAAACCAAGACCAAACCAAAGCCAGCACCCTGGGAAATGCGGGAGTGGATGCAACTTCAAGAATCAGGACCCTGAGCCCGACAAAGGGCCAGTGAGGATCTTTGCTTGTGGGAGCGGACTGATCTCGGCACATCATGGGGACATGATCCAGCGAATGCAGGGCATGATCCAGTGAACGCTGGACTGATCCAGCGTTCTCCTCCCTTGCACCGCCTCGCTACTGGTCGGTACTTGCTGAGCCAACTGGCTCTTGCTAGTTTGGAATCAGAATTGGAATCGGAATTCTACTGACTGGAATCAGTGGAGTCAGAACTTGGTTGTTGCCTTCTGCAGTGGAGAAAGGAATGAGGAACCGGGAAGGGAAGACAAATGTGCTCTGAATCCTTTAGTTTCAGACTCTAAAGAGCTCGGCTGCTGTCCTTGGCGGGCAGTGCCCACGCCTGGCTTCATCCCAGTTTTGAGAAATCTGGTTTGTGTGTGTTAGTCGCTCAGCACATCCGACTCTTTGCGAGCCCATGGACTGCAGCCCGCCAGGTCCCCTGTCCATGGGACTCTCCAGGCAGGAACCCTGGGGCTCCCAAGACAACGGAGCCATCCTGTGAGTCTGATTCTGATAACCACTCCCGAGGGTCCTCCTGCAAATTGTTCCCCACCCACTTTGAGAGCTCAGCTTAGCTCTCAAGTCCTCAGTGGGTCTATTTTAATTTAAAATGTGGGCTGGCAAACCTGGAGGCTAAAAGCCAACCAGGATTCCTTCCTGCCTCAGGTTCCACCTGAATTTGTTCTTGAAGAAATGCGGGGGTAATCACTGTGGTCCTGGGCCAGGTCGGAGGAGGGGCCACCTGTCCACTGGCTGGCACATGGGTGCTGGCCCCCGACCAAGAGCTGCCTTAGCAGTCGGGTCAGTGTCAGAGCCGGTTATGCTGCTCTGTGCCCACCATCTCCCTCTTTAACCACACAGAACAAAACCCCAAACCACATAACAATCCATTCTCCTGGCTCGATTTTTTTTTGTCTCCTTATAAAAGTCTGTGAGCTCTGCTCCTTTGGGTTAGGGACTGTCTCTGTTTCCATATCTCCCCCCAGGGCCCAGCAAAGTGCCTTACATGAAAAGGTGTTCTATTCTTGATGTTGATGAGAAGGAGAATAGAAATAATAATAATAACGATGCTTTGATTAGATCCTTGTGCCAGGCTCTTATCTAAACACTTCATATGCATTGTTATATTTACATTTTACAACAACCTTACTGGGCAGGTGATCGTGTCATCTTATTTTATACCCAGGGAAACTGAGGCCCAGAGAGATGATCGATATGACCAGGGTCACACAATGCGTACATAAAAGCAGAGAGAATGAAACCCATGACTCTGAATGAAGCCCATAGTTTAACCACAACTCTTTCTCCCCTCTCTATAGTTGTATACACAGCTTGGAAGGGACTCTCCATTTCCCAGTGGAAAGCTGGAGGCCTCGGGAAGACACAATGTGGGAACACGCGGGGAATAATGGAGTGTAATTCCAAAGCCTGGTGCCCACTGCTTGACCAGTGTCCCATGCCGTGGACACGGGCTGGCCACGCCCACCAGCTAGAGATGCTTTCAAACCCTGCTGGGTATCGTCCACAGAAGGGTGAGGGGCAGGAGAGCCCTACCGTTCTGGGGAAGGACGAACAGCTCCTCCGTGACCTGCCTCTTGAGGCGGCTGTCATTCGGGGCCTGGGGGCTGGCCGGTGCAGCGGGCTCTGCTGTGGTCTTCAGCGTGTAGTCGGCATAGTTGATGACCTCCGGGGCCGTCACGGCTGGCCTGGGTCCATAGATGTCTGGGAACTTCAGAAGGGCTCGGGGCTGGACGGGCTCTGTGGACTTTTTGACGTTAAACTGCAAACACAAATCATTCTGATTAGTCCACAAGAGGTCCTCCTGCCACAGAAGGGAGAAAAGATGACCTGAGCTTTCAGGGGAGGCAGAGGAAGGAGTTCCTTTCTGCTCCAAGGAACATGACCTGGGTAGGCAAAATATCATCGCCAAGTGCAGCAGAATCTCTACCATCATGAATCACACTGGGGCCAGCCGAGAATGTCAGCCCTGTCAATCCAGCCCCTGGGCATCCGTGGCCCGGGCGCCCCACTGCTGTGTCCTCAGGCATTCCCCAGGCCTGTCGTGGCTACCCTCCCCCCACCGCTCTCATCTGTACACCTGCCTTTGTTTTCCCTTCTCCTTGCCTTCCTCTCTTATTCCTTCTCCCCTTCCCCTTCAGAAATGAAATGAAGTGGTCCCACCACACTTAGAACCAAATCTAAACTCCCTGCAGTGACCCGTAAGTGCTTCCCCAGCCTGGCTGTGTTCACCTTTCTGACATTACCCCCAAACCCCTCTCTAGCCACTTAGCAATCTGCTTGTCAAACAGGCTGAACTCTTTCTGGGTCTGGCTTCTGGCCCCCAACTCTTCCCCCCAAAACCACCCACCTCCACCTCCACAGGCTCTCAATTAAGTCCCTCCTCCAAGTCTGTCCCTTCCTACCGCCTCATCCTGCACTTTGCTTTAGAGCATGGCTTTCACCCTGTACTGTTTCCGTCCTTGCCTGGCCTGTTTGGTCAGTCTCTCCCATTAGTGTACAGTCTCCATAAGCACAGGGATTTTGTCTTGTCCCGCTCCTGCAGCGTCTGCTCACGGGGAGCACGCAATACATACCTGTGGCTAGGACTCCCGTGTTCAGCTATGTGGTTTGTGCACTGTGCAAAGATGCCCAGATAAGGACCAAAATGCAGTTTGTGCTCCACTTGCCTGGCTATGTGCCCTGGGGTAGGGCTTAGTTCCACCTGGAGGAAAGGGCATCTTTCCTTTACCCACCTGCTTGTCAAGCCTTAAGGAAGTAAAGCTCCCTCATACAGGAGTGGAATCTTCTACCTTTGCCTCCACTGGGGACTGAGATTTCTCTTATTTGACAGATTCAAAGTTATATAACATGCAGCAATACTGGGGACCTGCCCAGTGCCCAGGAAATAGGAAATGATAAGCAGATCTAGAGCTTGAAATGCTGGCACAGTGGGTGGGCTGCCCACAGAACAACCCTCACACTGGGGCGGGTACTAACCCCCCACAGAACCCCCAAGCAGCTGCCTGCCCTCCAGGGGGGCCCTCCTGCCCCTCCGCTCTCTGTGGCTGTTGGAAGTGCTGGCCAGGGGTCAAGGTGGCTCTGCCCAGCGGCAGGAGTGACTCAGAGACTGGGAATCTGTGCAGTCCTGGAGGGGCGCGGAGGTTACGCTGTTTCAAAGCTCAGGTTTAGTGTTTGCCCTCCGTACATTTCATTACCCCAGGACGACTCCTGGGCACTCTGACCTGGTTGGAAGTCTGTCCCCAGATATTCCTGGGGGAGGCTGGAACTTGATGATGGGAGGCATTCCTAGCTATCCACATTGATTGGCCAATGGACGGAGTCCAGGAGAAGGTGCTAGAGAGACAAGAGGCAACACCCACTTCCTGCAGATGCCTGAGGGCTGCTGTCCCCGCACTGCATCACATCCATCAGAACTCCCAAGGGGCTCAGAGGGGATAAAACTCCTCATCCTCCCTTGGGAACACTGCCCAATAGGCTGTAATACAGCCCAAACACATCTACCCTGATTTCCGCTAAGTGCATCTAACACACGTGAGCTGAGGAAGCACTTCCTGACTTCCATGGACCAAGGTCGCCCAGGGCCAGATAGTGAGGGCAGTGACAGAATCGAACCTAGACCAACCTGGACCCAAAGCCCACTGCCCCAGTGGCTCCCAACCTTTTTTTCTGCCTTCAAGCCTTTACCAGGCAGCCATGGAATTAAAAGACACTTATGACCAACCTAGACAGAATATTAAAAAGCAGAGACATTGCTTTGCCAACAAAGTTCCGTCTAGTCAAGGCTATGGTTTTTCCAGTAGTCATGTATGGATGTGAGAGTTGGACTATAAAGAAAGCTGAGTGCCGAAGAATTGATGCTTTTGAACTGCAGTGTTGGAGAAGACTCTTGAGCGTCCCTTGGACTGCAAGGAGATGCAACCAGTCCATCCTAAAGGAGATCAGTCCTGGGTGTTCATTGGAAGGTCTGATGTTGAAGCTGAAACTCCAATACTTTGGCCACCTGATGTGAAGAGCTGACTCATTTGGAAAGACCCTGATGCTGGGAAAGGCTGAAGGCAGGAGGAGAAAGGGATGATAGAAGATGAGATGGTGATCAAGAAAAGGGGACTGTGTCATCAAAGATGACAGAGGATGAGATGGCATCACCAACTCAATGGACATGAGTTTGGGTAAGCTCCAGGAGTTGATGATGGACAGGGAGGCCTGGCATGCTGCAGCTCATGGGGTCGCATAGAGTCGGACACAACTGAGCAACTGAACTGACTGACTGACCCACCATCAGAGACGCTTGTCATGATCACACATTTCAATGAATCACCCTGGGAAGAGTTGTATGCTTTGCAAAGTCAGGGTTGCACCTTCACCCCATTGAGAGTGCCACTGGGCATCCAGGGACCTGGCTTCTAGTGCTGACCTAACTGTCTGAGTTGAGCAACTTTTGGCAGATCATTTCACCTCTCAGTTATCACTCAAGGAAGAGGTGATTCAAGGCTTATTTCACTCCTACATGTGGAGCAACAAAGAGGTGAGAGACACGGTTCTTTATTTGCAGATGAGTTGGGGAGACCATCAGAAACAGGAGAGTAAGTAACTGTGTTTGGCAAGCAGGACAGAGGCAGGCAGCAGGCAGTCTGTGTAAGTAACAGATGGGGAGAGCAGGTGACACCTGCGGAGGGGCAAGGAGAGCCGTCCTGGGAGCCAGGGCGTGGGCTAGACCTGAAAGGAGAGGGTGTCAGGAGGGTGGAAGGAGGAGTGGGGAGGGAGGCCAGGTCCCGGGAGGAGACACGCAGAGCAATGACTGATGTCCCCACGTTTTTCTGTCCTCCACAAAGTCGTTCCCACCTCTCATATTGCATCCAAGTCTGAGTTACACTAATTATTCTATTTCACAATAAGGAAAGGGAGGATGGAGGAAATTCAAGGTCATACAACTGAAGAGTGGTATGCCATCAAGCCTCCAGATATTTTCACTTCAAGTTTGCGTCATTTCCACTGCCTCACAGCTGCTTCTCAAAAAAAAAAAAAAAAGTCCCTGTTTGTTCTGGATGCTGGGTTCTCAGTGGCAACTTCAGCATCCCGGGGTTCGGGCTGTAGGACTCCCTCCTTGCAGCAGCCTCCCACAGCTGCCCGCAGGGACTGGACCACATCCTCTTCTCAGAATCGTCCTTGTCCGTCACTTGCTGGGGCCAGAACTGAGGCTATTGGGCTGGTCTAGGGAACACGTTCACATTTTATACTTTGTTTCACTTTAGTTCAGTCATTTTAGAAAAGGGTTGTGTGCATGCAAGCCAAGTCGCTTTGGTCGTGTCTGACTCTTTGAGACCCTGCGGACTGTAGCCCGCCAGGCTCCTCTGTCCACGGGATTCTCCAGGCAAGAATACTGGAGTGGGTTGCCATGCCCCCCTGAGAAAAGGGTCATGTTGATTAATTCCCAACTTGATCAAATCAGGCTGACTCTGCATTTTTAAGAGGGGAAATAATCACTGGGCTCAGTTCGGAGTGAGGGTCAGTCTGTCACTTTAAGTCCCTGCAGAGCCTGGGCTTGCATCCCTCCCTACTGAGTGGGTCTCACTTTGTGTGGGCCCTGAGAACCTCAGGAGCCTGTATCTGGCTGGGCTTTTCTTGGGGGCCCATCAACATTGATCCCCTCTTTCCTCCCACTTCCCTCCAGGTCACCAGGCTTTTTTGGGTCCCACCCCGGTTCCAGGGCAAGGGTGGGGAGGGGTCACTGTTTGGTCTGGTTCTGTTTGTTCTCGGCATCACCTTGGGGACTGTCCCGGGGAAACCACCCAGACGGAATGAAAGGACTTGCTTTCCATGGCAACAGAAGAGATGCTCTCCCCTGCTAGACAGGAAGCACGTGGCCCGGACTCGCGACCGCAAGGTGAGCCAGTCTTAGGACAGAGCCGCCAAGGTGGACCGCAGGGTGGACAGACAGTAGGAAGCTGCGTCTCTGATGACAGTGTCACTAAGCCACCAACTCAACCAAGCCTGGAAGCTGTCTTACCGCTGCACTTCCGGTTACATGAACTTCCGCTTACATGAATGATATTCCGGTTCTTATTGTTGAAGCCCCTTTAGATTGAGGTCTTTGTGAACTGTGGCCAAAAGCATCCTGAGCAGACACCATGCATTTTTATCGAGCAACACAGGAGATCATGACCTTGATGTAGAGAAACTGCCTAAACTCAAACCTCTCCCCAAGCCCCTGTGCATCCAGCCAAAGGCATCCTCACTAATTGCTGCTTCTAGCCTAACATTGGTAAGATCCTGCATAGCCATGGCTGCCTTTAGTGAAGAATGATTATTGCTCTTGACCTCACAGAGAGCAGAGCCTGCCGACCACTCCACGCGCCTCTCCAAGTGGTGAAAGCAACCACTGATGACCTATCTCCTTCCCTTGTACGATCTTATTTGTTGCATTTCAAAACCCTGGTTCCACCAAAACCCTGGTTCCACCGCATCTTTCAAATGCATCTGTTTCCACTTAAATAGCTTAAACATCAATGCCCAGGAAGCAGAAAAGAGGTTTGGGCGCTGAGGGAGGGAGCCTGGGAAAGGATTAGAGGTGGAGGGCAAGAATGTCTGGGAGGAAGGAGGTGCTCCGGGGAGCAGACGCCAAGGAAGGACCTGAGCTCAAGCCTTATGCTGTGGATATTGGCAGGGCAGTCTTTCAAAGTGGGGTTCTCTTTCTAAGCATCCCTTGAACCCAGAAAACAGGGCTTGGAAATAGAGAGGCAGGATGAATCAGAAAGGTTT